TCAGTTGCGCTATACGCTTGCTAGGAATGTTTTTTCTTTATGGATGTTTTGCATTTGGTGAGCTAATAAAATATTAAAACACAGTCAAATAAATGTTATGTACAGTTAATTATGTTATCCAGTATCATGGACTCGCTCTCTCTTGTTTGCTCATACAAACGCAGCTGTTACCATTTAGTGACTATTGTTCTGTACACTGTTGGATAATAAGATCCAAACAGGTACAATTTTAAAACTGTTTAATCTGAAATCAATATCTCTTATCTCCATAATTATTTATGTGGAAAAATGCTGTGTAATAAGTGGTATGACTGTACCGTATCTCTTAAATGTCTGTCTAGTTTGAACTTGCCGCCCTATCAACTGCTCTCTCAGCGGAAGCTTTGCGTTTAAAGAACTAATAAAATATTTCAACTCAGATCAATATTTTGTGTCTAATCATGTCTATGCAAGTAGCCGTGTAATAAGCGGGATTATGTACAACCAGACGGTTGTTATCTGAGAATAAATCCCCTTCAGGCTGATGCAAGGCTGATCATCACCCTGTCGGGGGTTTATTCTCAGATAACCGGCTGGATGTACATGATCCCTTACTTAATACTGAGCAGGGCCGGATTAAGAGTTCAGAGGCCCCTGGGCACAATGTCTTGTAGGCCTTAAAATTTATGAACTTTACTCCAGCATAGTACAACAAAGTTCCTTTTAAGTCAGTAAAACTGTTAATGCCATATTAAAATGTCCTTGGACAAAATATACATTTGGCCTGCCTAAGGGGGGCTTAGGCAGGCCAAATGTATATTTTGTCCAAGGACATTTTAATATGGCATTAACAGTTTTACTGACTTAAAAGGAACTTTGTTGTACTATGCTGGAGTAAAGTTCATAAATGGTAGTTCTTTCCCATAGGAATTTGTAAAACTATGTTGGGTGGACCTCTGTGTCTCTAGGGGGGTTCGGGGGAAGAACATTTTGTACATTTTAAGGTTAAATGCATCAATCTGGTGCTCTTTGAGAGATAAAAATTAAGAGCTTCAACCCATGAACTGCTCGTTGAACAAAGAAAAAGCATTGATTTGTACCAGGACAATAAAGAGGGCTCAAACATCTTTTTAGTTATGAGAGTCTCAGTCTACATTACATTATCAATGGTGTTTTAGGATGCCAAACAATTATTATAATAATGTAATAATGATTTATATAATTATTCCTATGACATAAAATCCATTTAGCCTATAAATGTACTATAAATGAAAATGAATATTTCAAAAGTATATTTTAGTCTACATTACACTATAATACAGGAAAATTAAAATACTTTTGTCCTAATTTCTTCACTTGCAAGAAATAAACCCTTGAGCTTTTATTTAGGAGAAAACACCAGATAACCATGCTGATCGCGTGAGCAAAGTGCACACTTTTCTTTAAATCACCCAGCACAAACAGGATGCCTATTCTTAAAGTATTGTGCTGTTTTATAATGGCACAAAGCCATATCATAGTTTCGATTTTATTTCGTTGGCAAAATATAACGCTAGAGACCTTTATGTTAGGTTATACATTTTACATCTCATATGTGTTGGGAAAAGGGAGAAGAGAGAGTTCGGCAAAAGGCGAATTCGAACTCGGGTCGAGCTGAAAACTCGGGAAAAAACTGCTTTCATGCACTTGACGCGCTAGGACCTACGCCACTGTAGCTATTCAGTGACGGGCGTCTTTTTACTTAAAAGACAGGCACTTAGTGCAAATATACGCTCCGTTATCTAAAATATTTTTTTTCCTTCCCCTCGCTTCCCCAGTGTTGGTGCTCTGTGTTTTATCAAGGGCAGGGTCAATGCAGCTAGCTATCAGGAGATTTTGGAGCACTTCATGCTTCCATCTGCTGAAAAGCTTTATGGAGATGAAGATTTCATTTTTCAGCACGACCTGGCACCTGCTCACAGTGCCAAAACCACTGGTAAATGGTTTACTGACCATGGTATTACTGTGCTCAATTGGCCTGCCAGCTCTCCTGACCTGAACCCCATAGAGAATCTGTGGGATATTGTGAAGAGAAAGTTGAGAGACACAAGACCCAACACTCTGGATGAGCTTAAGGCCGCTATCGAAGCATCCTGGGCCTCCATAACACCTCAGCAGTGCCACAGGCTGATTGCCTCCATGCCACGCCGCATTGAAGCAGTCATTTCTGCAAAAGGATTTCCGACCAAGTATTGACTATTGAGTGCATAACTGAACATAATTATTTGAAGGTTGACTTTTTTCTTTGTATTAAAAACACTTCTTTTATTGGTCGGATGAAATATGCTAATTTTTTTCGACAGGAATTTTGGGTTTTCATGAGCTGTATGCCAAAATCATCAGTATTAAAGGAGAACTCCGGCGCAAAATGAACCTCGGGTGTAATAACACATTGGTACAGACTAAATCGTTCCCTGAGATTTGTTTTCATGATAATCGAATGTAAAGAGTTTTATCTCTAAAAACAGTTTAGCTTATAACGCTAGTATATTGGGCATAGCGTAAGCAAAAAGAGATCGCTAGTTAATACCACCAACAAGGCTCAAATTAGCCCCACACTAACACGGCAGCATAATGAGGGTCCTTACATGCAAACCGAAGCATTGAGAACTTTGTAAATGTATAGACAGTTTAATAAGAAGATACTTTACACAGACAGTACAGTTAGCGCATACAGACAGGAGCCATCTTGGAAAACAGTCTCGATCAGTCAAACCACGAACACGGTGATACGTGAGCTGAACTGTGACTTGGAATCTCATATGGTCCGTTGTTTCCGGAAGAAAGCACTGAGCGCATAAGAGAAGCACTTAACGCAACAGAGAAAATAAAAAAAATAAATATAATTTATCTTATCTTCAATATCTACACGTACTGTTCGCTCACCCTCGTGGTTCGATTGGTCGAGACTGTTTTCCAAGATGGCTCCTGTCTGTATGCGCTAACTGTACTGTCTGTGTAAAGTATCTTCTTATTAAACTGTCTATACACTTACAAAGTTCTCAATGCTTCGGTTTGCATGTAAGGACACTCATTATGCTAACGTGTTAGTGTGGGGCTAATTTGAGCCTTGTTAGTGGTATTAACTAGTGATCTATTTTTGCTTACTCTATGCCAATATACTAGCGTTATAAGCTAAACTGTTTTTTAGAGATAAAACTCTTTACATTCGATTATCATGAAAACAAATCTCAGGGAACGATTTAGTCTGTAGGCCTACCAATGTGTTATTACACCCGAGGTTCATTTTGCACCGGAGTTCTCCTTTAAAACAATAAAAGACCTGAAATATTTCAGTTGGTGTGCAATGAATCTAAAATATATGAAAGTTTAATTTGTATCATTACATTATGGAAAACAATGAACTTTATCACAATATGCTAATTTTTTGAGAAGGACCTGTATATATATATACACTCACCTAAAGGATTATTGGGAACACCTGTTCAATTTCTCATTAATGCAATTATCTAATCAACCAATCACATGGCAGTTGCTTCAATGCATTTAGGGGTGGGGTCCTGGTCAAGACAATCTTGGTCACAAAAACATGAGTGAAACTGAAAGTACAAAATGTTTTTGAGTAAATTTTGCATTTGTTTTAATCTAAGAGAACTGAAAATAATGCCAGTGTGCAGTGTCTTTAAGTCCTTACCTGTTTCTCAGTTCTCTCTGCTGCAGTTGATGCAGTGTCATGATTTTTGTGTTCATCCACCATACACAGAATACAGATACACTGCTGTTCAGTATGGCAGTAAATTTCCAGAAGTTTTTCATGTTTACGGCAAATTCTTCTGAAGCTCTCCAGGGGCGTCCATCAAGTTGTGTCTCTTTCCATTGAAGAGATTATCATGTTGTTCAAGGTGGTTTTGACAGTAAGAGTTCAGACACACCAGACAGAACTTGACGGCTTTGTGTTTTCTTCCAGTGCAGACGTCACACTCCACATCTCCAGCTCCAGCTCCAGCAGGAACATCAGCATGGAGTTTAATTTTCTTCAGTTGCTCCACCACTTCAGCCAGCATGGTGTTTTTAGCTAAAGCAGGTCTTGGACTAAAGGTCTTTCTGCACTGAGGGCAGCTGTAGGCTTTTCACTGATCTTCTATTGCAGTAGTCCATAATGCAGCTCACAGTAGGCCTAACTGTGTCCACAGGGAATGGCCACTGGATCCTTCAGTAGATCCAGACACACATAGACTGCTGAACTGGTCCTGAGAAAACCTGGCTTCAGCCATTTCACTATACGCACACAGACAGCACAAACGTTTCGTTTTCCTTGAACTGGAGAGCTGATGTATTTCCCTGCTCCGGTGTTAGAGAGATACAGAATGAGCAAAACATTCATAATACAAAGGTCCACTAGATGGCAGTCTTGTAAAGAAATAGATATGCTGCGTGAGCGTGAGTTTGAGAGAAATGGAGTTTGTGAAAAATGTGAACCATGGACTAATTTGACAAAGGATATTTATGGCTGTGTTGTGTAATATGCCCTTTTTGACAAAGGTAAAGGAAACACTCACATTTTTATTATCCACATTTAAGTGGAAATTCTGTGGATACTTAGAAATGAAGGGATATACTAGTGTTTACGTGTGGTCTAGACAGACCAATTTGGTAGCAAAAAGTGTCTTAATATTTTGGTTTACCAAAATAAATAATTCATAAAATGTAATCTTATTTAATCTACATTTCTAAATAAAAAAGAACCCTTTTATTTACCCTTCTTATATTGAAGTCTATTTCAAAATATTGAGCTGAACATGTCGATATTTAAGATTCAAGAATTTTATCTATTTAACATGTATATAATATATCAAAACATGTCTTGTTTTGTTAAATGTGGTAAAATTGCATAATTTTTGGTAAGTCGTTCATTCGGCACCTCGGTTGTATGGTTAATAGTGGCAGCAGTAACTCCGCTAGTGCAGTAGGTGGCAGTAATCCGCTCTCAGATGATTTTCATCTCCAATAAAGCAGCGAGCAACGATTTCGAGTAAAAAAACATGGCACCAGTAGAGTTAAAAATTTCTGCTGAAGTTTGACTAATCGCCTATATGCTGTTTCCTTTAGTGAATTGTGTGAGATATTTTCTTGGTGGCGTCAAGCAGTAGTTTTACTAGAAGATGTTCGTGGCGAAGAGCATCGCAGCGGATCATAAAGATCTGATTCACGATGTTTCTTATGACTTTCATGGTCGCAGGATGGCGACCTGCTCCAGTGATCAGAGCGTCAAGGCAAGAAAACACTCTTTTGTGTAATCTGTTTAACTGCACAGGACTTTATAGAGACTTTGTCCAAACTTATATTTAGCTGCCTACCTAGAAAGTAAATCCTGCACGCGCCCGTGACACCCAAAAATGCGGTCTAGGCGGACAGCTCACCAGGTTTTGAGACATAGCCAGATATTACATTTAACAGAAACTTTATACGTGATTGAATGGACTTTCCTGCAGCTGTAACTTACCTTAGTTTGGGAATACTTTCCCTTAAGAAACGGTGTTATGTATGTAAATAATAATAATGTTTTATTTATATAGCGCCTTTCCCTTTCTGTTAAATGTGATCGTATTAACCATCAGGTTATTGTTATGGCTATATATTTTTTTTTTATCTCCATATACTTTATGAGAGGGTATAGGTAGATTCTATGAAATTAGAGGTTTGGTGTATAAATAATTGATTGATAGATTTGTATTGGAGACGAATATGTGTCTGTTAATCTCCATCACGTTATATGTAATTCAGTAGTAAAATATGTTTCCAAAAATGGTAAAGTTGGTTTCTTGACCATTTTTTTTGTTTTGCTTTTTTTTTGAGTGATTATCTCTGTTTTGGTGATGTCAACCACTGTTTTTTTTTTAAGATCGGTTAAAAGTCACAATGAAATCAAAATTGAAAATTCTTATCTTTATGGGATATTGTAGTATTTACTATAATTGATTTATCTTTGCACGTTATTAATTATTATTTAATTTGTGTGCCCTCATAATCTTAAATCAAAATATCGTCCCCTTCCTCTTGCATCATCTAATCTCTTATGACAGTGTTTACTGGTGTGGGGGTGGGACGGGACAACCCGGCAATCACAGCAATAGCAAACCACATCAACCCAATCAATTCCAATTGACAAAATCAAGTCCCGCCCTACATTATTTCTTGTTCAAGAATCAGTTTCACTCTGATATAGTTGTAAATGAAATTATTCAACCCCCATTGCAAACAAGTATCATTGGCAAACTTTACAGACTTTCAGCTGTTCGCAATGAGCAAATCAAACAAAAGTAATTGAAATAGCTCAACACAATAAATGTTTCAAGTGGTTTCTGCAAATTCAACTGAAAATGCATCTTTTAATGACTTCTGCAGTCTCAAAATTATTCAACCCCTTGAATAGAATCCCTCACAACAGCACAAATCTGCGAAACGTGTTATCTCTCAAGCACACCTGATGCAACTAATCAAGGGCTTCGTTAGTTGCACCAGGTGTGCTTGAGCTAGAACACATGACATATCTGAACTGGCTAGTTTTATTGAGTGTCACGTTTGACTGCATGTTAGAAATATGGCTCGAAAGAATGGTTAAAAAAGTTAAGATATTATAGCCCTTTACAAACAAGGAACAGGATACAAAAAGATAGCGAAGGCACTAAATGTTCCTAGAGACACTGTTGAAGCATAATTCGCAAGTTCAAAGTTAAACGAACAGTGGTTACACTACCTGGACAGGGGAGAAAAAGGAAGCTATCAACAACAGAAACCAGATTTCTGATAAGGCAGGTTCAGAAAACCCCCCGAGTGACTGCAAAAGACCTGGGGCCTCATTTATAACCGTTGCGTACGCACAAAACAGGCCCTGAAAGAGGCGTACGCCACTTCAGACGCATAAATTGTAATTTATAAAAACAAACTTGACGGGAAAATTTGCGCACCTGCACGCAAACTCTGACCCATGCGTACGAACGTTTTGGAGATGGAGCAGTTTGGCGACACCGATGGTGAGCTGGAGTTAAATGTCTTTTTGGTCACTTTTAGACCTAAAATCTAAAAAAAAATTTATACATCGCCTATACAGAGAGATAGCCTACAAATATAATTTCACTCACCAAGCCTATTACTTGAAACCAATATCTGTCCCTTTTTAAAGGTCTGTGCCAGCGAGCGCGTTGGGCCGTTTAGTGAAACTGACGCACATAGGCCTATCTAACGGCAGATTAAGTAAATCTTCAGTAGGCTATGAGTCCTAATCATAAATACAGTGCATGTTCACAATAACAGTTTAAATAAATAAAAGAATGATTTAAACTATGTTTTACTTCTGATATAAACATTTAGATTAAATATGCCATTCTCATTAATGGAGTTAAACACTTAAACTACATGAAATCATTACTGAGAAGTTACAACATTTTTTTATATTCAATAAATATAAATATTTGTTGTGGATGCAATGCTTTTGAACACTTTCCCTCTGGCATGCTGTGTTTTAATGTTTTAACTACAGAGATAATTGCTTATGATAATAGCAGATTGTCTGAGAAAATAGTTTTGTGCAAATAATGCACAACCATGTCTATCTGTTTCCATTAAAAATATAAATAAATTATAAATACTATTTGGCCAGTGGAAAAGATTGAGAAAAACTTTCTCTGAAATGTATTTTACACTATTTGATTTATTTATTCAAAAACAAGGGAAGGATATAGGCTACAAAAAATATATCTATATATATTAATGTAATGTGACGGCACATCCGTATTTCATATTTTCCTAACGTCTTGTACCTTTAAACATGGTATCACATGGATGAATAATCATATGCAAATGATATGCAGATGAGGATATGCATATTAAAACTAGGCGTTGTAAGCTCCATATATGGTTATTTCGGGGAGGGGACGCATGTGTGCACATTCTTCCGCTGACTGGGATTTATAAAGTGAATTCTGCGCAGGTTCTGGCATACGAACGGTTTTATAAGTCTGAATATTTTTTTGCGCACGCCATTTTTGGCTTTCGGGCGCACGTACACTTTTAGTAAGGATCTTACGCACAGTTTTATAAATGAGGCCCCTGCAGCAAGACTTGGTGGCAACAGGCACTGAGGTTTCAGCTTGCACAGTAAACGCATACGGTTTCCATGGCAGAACTCCAAGACATACACCACTACTGGCCCAAAAGCACAAGAAAAGTCTGCTCCAATTTGCTCAAAATCATATATATATATATATAAGCCACAGAGTTTTTGGGGTTCTGTTCTGTGGATTAATTAAATAAAACTGTAACTTTTCGGCCCTATATGGATCAGCGTCAACCTATGTCTTGAGGAAGAATAATGAAGCATATGCTGAAAAGAACACTGTCTACATTTAAGCATGGTGGTGCTCTGTGATGCTCTGGGGCTGCTTTCCATCCTCTGGCACTGGAAACCTGCAGCGTGTGGAAGGCAAGATGGATTCATTGAAGTCCTGGAAGATTCTACAGTGCCATCACAGTCACCTGACTTGAACCCCATTAGAAATGTCTAGTGGGATTTGAAGAAGGTGGATGCAGCACGCAAACCAAAGAATATTACTGAACTGGAGGCCATTGCTCATAAAGAATGGGCTAAGATTCCTCAGAAACGCTGCCAGAAGCTGGTGTCTGGTTATATCTCGTTTGCAGCAGGTCATAACAGGAAATGAGTGTTCTACTAAGTACTAAAGATGCTTGCTATGAAGGGGTTGAATAATTTTGAGACTACAGAAAAGTTGCTTTTTCAGTAGAATTTTGGGAAACCACATAAAACATTTGTTGTGTGGAGCAGCTATTTCAATTATTTTGATTTGTTCATTGCAAACAGCTGAAAGTCTGTAAATTTTGCCTATTAACCTGATTTGCAATGGGGGTTTAATAATTTACATTATAACTGTATATCACAATAGGGAATAAAACAACTTTTGCAACTTCCATTTCAGACTTTAACCTTGACAGCCATCTTTGTGTCATGGCCCACAACAAATTTTGGTTATACAGAACTTTACGGAAACCTCAATAATATCTCAGCTTGGGATGGTCTAAACTGCTTGAAACAAAACTGAGAGCAAATTTCAAGGTATTGAAACAAATTCTTGTTCCTTAAAATTTGACTTCAAATGTAATGATCAAGAACTCTCAAAGTTTAGGGTTAAATAAAGTGAAAAGAAAAAGAAAAAAGAAGTGGATGGTGTTTTGCGATACATGGGTAAACCAAAATTTGGAAAACCAAAAATGATCAAGCAGCCTCTATTCATTGCATCGCATGAGATGGATTTACAGATTTGGAGCTTGGGGATTCAATTGATAGCAGCTTCAGATAGGAGCTGAGGTTAAGGCTGTGGTTCTTTAGCTTATTTGCACACTTGTTATTCATATTGTTGACAAACGTTTGGCTGTTTTGAATTGTTCTAGGTCTGGGACAAAGGTGATGATGGAGAATGGCACTGCACTGCTAGTTGGAAGGTATGATTATTTTTTTTTTTTTTTTTTTTACTTTTTTGTGCTTTGGGGTCAATCTTCATGTAACCCTAAACTGCATAACTGACTTTAGTTTCCACCCTCATTCATACGTTGGTTAAAAAGGTGGGATACAAGTAGATGCATATTCATTATAGCACTTTGCCAAACAAAAATATTACAGTTAAAGGACTGGCTTCACAGACACGGCTTAGATTAAGCCAGGATTTGGCCTTAGTTCAATAAGGACATCTAAGTAGCTTTTATAAACATACGTGCCTTAGAAAAAAAAAAAAACATTACTGGTGTGCATCTTGAGTCAAAACAAATTAAAATATTCTCAAACATGCATTTTAATCTAGGACTAGGCTTAAACGTTGTCTCTGAAACCGGGGGGAAAGTTTGTATACCTAAAATTTGTATACCTAAAAAAGTAGCACACTTAATGTAAAAATAATTAAATTGATCAAAGACACCTTAAATTTGAAGAATTCCTAAAACGTTTTTAAACCGCATTCTTCTGTCTCTGTCTGTCTGTTTTAGACCCATAGTGGTTCTGTTTGGAGGGTGACATGGGCGCATCCTGAGTTTGGTCAAGTGTTGGCATCTTGTTCGTTTGACCGCACTGCGGCTGTATGGGAGGAGATAGTCGGTGAATCCAATGATAAACAGCGTGGTCAGAGTCACTGGGTATGTAAAATTCACTTTTTCTATGTTATTCACAGCCCTATAAAATCAGGGGTTTTTTTTGTGCCAAATTCTGTGTTTATTAAAGTTTTAACAATAATAGTGCCCTATTAAATGTTTTATCTTTTCAGAAATGTTGTGTTGTCTGTTTTCTGGATTCTGTGTTTTATGATTTAATACAAATGTATTATAAAAATGATGGTAATCAAATGAATGCATACAACTTCAACAAATAAATTAGCCTTTTAAAATGTAATCAAATGATTTCATAATGTTAAATTCCTGTTTTGCAAACAAGGTGCTGCATAATAGAGGTTTACTGTTTAAATTAAAACATGGACAATTTTCTTTTTGACTGGATTTTGCAATTTTCCATGTCATAGGCCCTTACTACTTGCTTTTCCTGTTGCTCAAATAGTAGAGCAACAGGAAAAGCAAGATGGTAATCCATTAAGGCAAATGTTCTTGTGGTCCATTAAAAACAGTGCAGCATCCAGGCCAAGACCTTCTACTCTTTGTAAGATTGTTTTGGCCATCATTCTCCACACCATGGTGCTAGCAATGGGTTTGATTCCCAGGGAATCAAATGAAGTGTATGAAGTGAAAAGTATGGTATAATTCAAGAGTATACATTGATTTCAGAGTTGCTTTGGATAAAGTTTCTGCCAGAAGGTCCAAATGTAAAATTGTAATTTTGAGGGTAAACTTATGAATTTTCTAAAAACAAGTTGGTAACCAATCATGTTTTGTGCAAATCTGAAGCAATGTCATAGATCTTCTATTAATTTCTTCTGTGCTTCTCCAGATTAAGAGAACCACACTTGTGGACAGTCGGACATCAGTGACCGATGTGAAGTTTGCACCAAAGTACATGGGCCTGATGTTGACCACTTGCTCTGCAGACGGTGTGGTGCGCATCTACGAGGCCCCTGATGTGATGAACCTCAGCCAGTGGTCACTGCAGCATGAGATCTCCTGCAAGCTCTCATGCTCCTGCATCTCATGGAACCCCTCCAGGTCTGAACGCCATCTACACACACACACAATAACATATGAATATGAAAGAAGTATTCTTGATTGTCACAACTGTTTGTTCTGCCTTTTAGTTCTCGAGCACATCCTCCAATGATAGCTGTGGGCAGTGACGACAGCAATGTCACATACAGTGGCAAAGTGCAAATCTATGAGTATAATGAAAATACAAGGTATGAGTTTCGCTTCATGGAATTTCACTTCTTAGTGGAAAGAGTAGCTCCTAGTGACACAATTTTTAGAATTTTTTTTAGAAATGTGGGCATTTCCTCAAAGTTAAAGAAAATATCCTAGTAAAGAGAAAAGTAATTCAGAAAGCATCTTAACCCTTAAAATAGGTCTTAAGGTCCAAAATTGTTAGGAGTACAGACGAGGACTTTTAAGAGTTTCTTTAGCAGCGGAGAAAATGGGCGAAACGTGAGGAGGGAGAATAAATGTGTTGGACACAATGCATGTCAGTGAGTAAATAAGACGCTACACATTAGGTCGTGCAGGGATCATGTTTGTGACTGATCTTATTAGAGACACGCTAACATCTCCGACACAGCGCAGAAATGCCATAGCGCCAGAAATGTAAGTAGAAACAACTTTATTACATCACTTCAATTCATCAAAAAGTTAACACCACAAAATATCAAAACACTACTCTCCCTCCTCCACTGTACAGATAGCATCATTATAACACCACTGCTGTACAAAAGTTCCCACATCATTCATTGCTCTATAATACCTAAAATCTATTGTGATTCTAGACTTTACAAAAGCTTTGAAAACAGGCAAAAGCTCCTGACCATGTGTATTCTCAATTGTATTTCTCCTTGTAATAAGTATGGCAAGTTTTGCTTGACCTACCAAAAAAATTATCAACTGCCATTTTATCTTTTGATTCTGCCTATAGCCCGCTCCCAAAATAAAAGTACATATATACCTCTACATATATAAAAAAAACTGGCTTAATATATCAAACAATGGCATCAATCTTTCACATTCTGAATAGCAATGAAATACAGTCTCTCTATGTCCACAAAAAATACACTTATCATCAACATTAGGATTGATAACAGATATAAAAGCATTTACTGCCACAACACCATGTAAAATTCTCCACTGTAAATCACCAACACGTTTTATCAATGGTGGTTTATACAGCACCTTCCACACTGGTTTTACTTCATCTATTGCAAGTTTACTTCACACTGTGTCAGTTCTTTTGTCTAACATTGTTTTGTTATACACTTTCACAAAACATTTGTACATCAAATTACCCCCCAACATGGTCAAGTCCAAATCCATTAAAACTTTCAAATCCAATAAAGGTCCTGTTGCATCTTTAAAATCTGGTGTAAGACCAAGTTTTGGAAAGGAATCTGTCTTATCCAAACTTACAGACCCATCTTCAAATCCTTTTAACAACTTTAAATCATCATCTGTAAATTTTTTCTTCCAAAGTTCAATTATTTTTTGCAGTTTGGGGAGTTGATCTCTGCCCCAGCAAAGTAGCCACTGCATTAATATCATTCAGTTCAGGCCCGGCCACATCAACTATATGCTTCAATTGAACATTTTTCGAGGTGCACAGTATCTGGGTGAGACCCATCATGCTCTCGCCTGTTACATCAAGCCTAGCTCCTTTAACCAGGGGTTCTTCAAGAAACCAGAACAAAGAGTCTGTTTTCTCCAGTCTATAAATGACAAAAAGTCTCCAAACTTTAAAAAGTCCATGATAGAAAGATGGTAATCCATTAAGGCAAATGTTCTTGTGGTCCATTAAAAACAGTGCAGCATCCAGGCCAAGACCTTCTACTCTTTGTAAGATTGTTTTGGCCATCATTCTCCACACCAGGGGTCTCATTTATAAAGCGTGCGTACTGCGTACGCACAAAACGGTGCTGGAAACATACGTACGCCAGTTTCCACGCAAAGGTTGTGATCTATAAAAAACAAACTTGACGGGAGAATGTGCGCACCTTTAAGCAAACTTTGAGCCGTGCGTACGCACGTTTTGGAGACGGAGCAGTTTGGCGACACCGATGGTGAGCTGGAGCTAAATGTCTTTTTGGTCACTTTTAGACCGACATTCTAAAGAAAATTATACATACAGTATACAGAAAGATAATACAAATATAATTTCACTCACCAAGCCTATCACATGAGGCAAACATCCATCCCTTTTTAAATGTCCATCCCTTTGTTCTTTAGTGAAACTGACGCAGCCTATCTAAAACCGTAAATCTTCATTATAATCATATACAGTGTTCTGTGAAATATGTTCACAATAACAGTTTAAATAAATAAAACTGTTTTAGTTCTAATATAAACATTTAGATTAAAATGCCATTCTGATTAATGGAGTTAGACACTTAAATTACATGAAATCATTACTGAGAAGTTACAACATTTTATTATATTCAATAAATAGAAATATTTGTTGTGGATGCAATGCTTTCAAACACTTTTCCTCTGGCATACTGTGTTTTAACTACAGAGATAATTGCTTATCATTCATGATAATAGCAGATTGTCTGAGAAAATAGTTTCGTGCAAATAATGCACTACAAGGTCTATCTGTTTCCATTAAAAATTTAAATCAATTAAAAATACTCTTTGGCCAGTGGAAAAGATTGAGAAAAACTTTCTCTGAAATGTTTTTTACACTATTTGATTTATTTATTCAAAAACAAGGCAAGGATATAGGCTACTAAATTATTTTTTATTAATGTAACGGCACATCCGTATTTCATATTTTCCAAATGTCTTGTAGGCCTACCGTTAAACATGTTATCACGTGGATGAATAATCATATGCAAATGATATGCAGATGAGAATATGCATAGTAAAACTAGGCGTTATAATCTCCATATACGGTTATTTCGGGGTGGAGACGCATGTGCGCACAATCTTCCGCTGACTGGGATTTATAAAGTGAATTCTGCGCAGGTTCTGGCGTACGCACGGTTTTATAAGCCTGAATATTTTTTTGCGTACAACATTTTTGGTTTTCGGGTGCACGTACACTTTTAGTAAGGATTCTACACACAGTTTTATAAATGAGATCCGCAGATCCGCAGACCCCTTCAAAAATGTTTGTACAAATTGTAAGGGGAATGTCGCTAGCCTACTTTGCAGGTGTACCAGGCCCTGCCCACCCTCCTCTCTGGGCAAATAGAGCACACTTTGAGGAATCCAGTGTAGTTTGTCCCAGAAAATGTTTACCAAAATTGTCTGTAATTTTGGCAGAAGGCCAACGGGTGGGTCTACACAGGACAACTTATGCCACAATGTTGAGGCTACTGAATTATTAATTACTAGCACTCTTCCTAGAAAAGACATTTGTGGATGGATCCATTTCCATTTTTTAAGTCTACCCTCTATCTTTTCCACAATTCCCTCCCAATTTTTCTGTTGTGCAACTTCATCACCAAGGTATACTCCCAAATATTTGAACCCCCCCTCTTTTCCATATCATCTCACCAGGTAACTTTGGTAAACCCTCCTCCCATTTTCCAATTGCCAGAGCATTACTCTTCTCCCAATTTACTCTAGCAGATGATATTAAACCAAAGTCCTTTACCACAGACACAAAATTTTCAATATCCTTTTGGCTATTAACTATTATTATAACATAGTCAGCATATGCTGACACCTGATGCTGTAACTCTGTGCAATGCAATGATAAACCCACAATTTTGGTTCTTAACTTAATTAACAAAGGTTCAATGGCTAGGGAGTATAACATTCCTGATCCCCTTAACAAGCGCACACCCTTGTCTTATACCCCTACTGATATTAAACGGGGCGCTTAAACCACCATTGACTTTCAGCATGCTTTCAATGCTCTGGAATCACTTTAACAAATTTTAATCCAAAACCAAAAGACTCAAGTCTTCCACAGATATTGATGTTCAATTCTGTCAAAAGCTTTTTCCTGGTCAAGCGAGAAGTCCTAAATCCACCCCCAAGAAACCAGAAACATGCAAAACATCTCATTAGATGAACATTGTCTAAAATTGATCTACCTGGCACACAATACGTCTGATCCAAATGAACAACTTGGTCCATTACTTCTCTCAGTCTGTTAGGCAAGGCCTTAGATAGAATCTTCATATCAGAACATAACATAAGCTTATAGGACGCCCGTTCTTAATCTCCTTTAAATTGCCCTTCTTAGGAAGCATTGTTATAACAGCTCTTCTGCAACTCAAAGGCAATGAGCCTCCTGTCAGACTCTGTTACGTCCTCTGATGGCATAGAGGTATGAGGAAGACGTACATAATAAAATTGAAACACACTCCTATAGTTTTAGTCTCTGGGGAGTACTGTGGGTGAATGACGCCAAGACAACAAATTACTGCAAGCAGGTGGTTCGCTTTATTTACAATACGAACATTATAATTTACATAAATGAAAACAAACAAATAAACTTAATTACAGCTATATACACACAACTTAAAAGAATTGAAAAATGATAATTGAAATAAGCCACAGAGAGAAAGAAGATGAGCGGTGTTAAACAAACAAAATAACAAAACAAAAGCACACACACTAACTAATCCCCCACTCTCTAAACTAACTGAAAACAAAAACAGAAAACAAATAATTCTTCAGCGTGTTCTTAACACGCCATAACTAAAACTTCACTAACTAACCAAACAAAAATTACACAGTTGCACATGCTCCTTCCCTAGTGTCTCTAACAATGGTAACCCTACGTGCATGTAAGATGTAGGTCACGTGACGTACTTTCCTTTTCTCTTCTCTCCGGGCTGTTGCGGGCAAGAAGTCCTCTAGTAAGCAAACACAATCAAATAAGCACGTAAGCGAACCACCACAAAGTCAGTATTTCTCAACAACAGTAGCACAAGCCAACAAACACTCCAAAAAACTCCTCTTCCGTTCTTCAGAGTGCCTTATATCCTGAACCACAGCCGATGATTGGTGGTCTCCGACCAATAGCAGCACCTACAAACTTAAAGATAGCAGAGAGCGGGAAAACAGAAAGAAACCAACAGCAGAGGGGAGAAATGCAGCAACCAATAAGAAAAGGGGAGGGAACAAAAATGCTAGCACATAACACTCTCATTAAGAACACTTAATAGGTCCTCACCAAGCACAGACCAGAACTCTTTATAGAACTCCACAGGGAGTCCATCAATACCAGGAGACTTCCCACCCTCCATATCTTTTAAGGGCATTCAAAAGTTCCTGATTGGATTAGGGTCTTTCCAGATGTGCCTTTGAGTCTTCAGCAACACTGGGCAATCCTTCAAGGAAACCGGCAGACAACTGAACATTCTCTTTATATTCACTCTTGAACAGTTCATTGTAGAACCTTACAGTCCTCTGTCTTATATCATTTGCTTCAATTAACTCCTGGCCACTTTCTGAACGTAAAGAGTGAATATATCTGCATTGTCCATTCTTTTTCTCCAAACTGAAGAAAAATTTAGTTGGGGCGTCCATTTCAGTTCCGTTCTGATGCCTTGACCTTATCAGAGCTCCTTGTGCCTTTATACCAAGCATATTCTCCAAAAGAGACCTTTTGGACTTTAATGTCTCAGCTTGTCTTGGTTCTCTTTTAACATCAGCCAACGCTTGTAAGTTAACAATTTCAGATTCCAATTGTCTCATGTCTTGAGTGATGTATCGAGAAACATTGAAAGCATACTGTTGACAGAGCATTTTTATTTAATTTTTTCCATAGTCCCACCATTGTCTCAAATCATTAAAACCTTGCTTTCTTAATTTAAATTGACTCTAAAAGAAACAAAAAACTTCTTTAAAACTCAAATCGCTCAACAAAGAAGTATTAAAATGCAAATACGCACTTTTAACCTTAACATTTGGAATACACACCTGACATGAAACCAAAAAATGATCAGTAAAACCAACTGGCACAATTTCACATTTTTTCACAACATTTACATGGTGTTTAAAACAATAAAATCGATTCTTGCCATGGAAAGAAAATTCTCTCTTGTATGGAACCACGTGTACTGTTTCACATTACTATTAAATTCTCTCCATAAATCACATAAACTGTGTCTCTATCAATTCACAAAGTTTTCCTCTATTTTTACTGCCAGTTGCCTCATCTGAATCATCCACTGTGCTGTGTTCACTATCATCATGTTTAACATCACTGTCACTAAAATGACTGGCTCTTTCCATCTTTGTCTTAGCCCTTTTCCTCTTGATAGTAGGAGTTTTGAAAATGTATTCTTCATTGACTGATTCACTGTCCACTCCTCCTCCCTCTAGAACAGCCTCTGCAGCCTCAACCACATGACGACATTAAACAAGCACTTCCCCATCTGTCCCTTCTATCTCCATGTCATTCACCTGTTCACTCACATTCTCTTTTGTTTTCTCACCATCCATCACATTATCCTGTACCTGCTCTTCCACTACACCTCCACCGCCATCCTCAGCAGTGACAACATTAGCAGCATCAGTCTTCTCTGGACATGCACGTCTTATGTTGCCCTCTTGTCCGCATCCAAAACATTTCATTGTTTCAGATGAAACAAAAACGATGTAATCAAATCCATCAATCTTAAACTTAAAAGCCACACTAAGTTCATCTATTTCACTTTTCAAAATCATGTGAACCTGACGTCTAAAACATGTTTTAATAACGGCGATTTACAGCCTAAAGGAATCTTTTTCATTTGAGAGACTACCTTTCTGTGCTTTGATAATTCTGCCAATAATATATCATCCTTTATGAAGGGGGGAACATTTGACAGTGTGACTGTCCTTGCTGGCTGAACCAAAGGTATTACCGGGGTATAAGTATTAGGGGTGGAACGGTACATGTATTCGTATTGAACCGAAACGGTACGGGCGTCACGGTTCGGTGCACGAATTTACACGGAGAATACACGGTATAAAAATAAATAATACTCGCGTGCAAATTAATTCATGTAATGCGGAACTACTGTTAGATACGCGGGTTCTTTAGGGACACATAATCTGTACCATTGGCTTAGCTCTGAACCCGCGTTCACTTCAAACGTTGGCTTTATACGCGTGTCCTATTGACTAGCGTCGAACTAGACGCGATAGACGCGAATTTGACGCTCTATTCGCGTTTGGTGTGACCGCATAATGAACAGGCTGCGATGTCAAGATTGAAATGCTGGAGTGTGTGTGTTTGCGCCAGAGAGAGAGAGAGAGAGAGAGAGGCGCGGGCGCGATAGAGGCGCGCGATCGAACAGTGGAAACATAAAAAACATTCTTGGTCATTTTGTTCAAACAGATCATTAAACCTGCAAAGTGTTTACTTATATTTGTGTACACTCGCAATAAAACACAACATTGTGCTTTTGTCACACTGTAAACTCTTGCCAAACTGTAACCTACAACTGTCACCCAACCAAAATCACACACACACACACTGTTTTAAAAGCAAAACATATTTATCCAACTCCATTTCAAAACAGTCTGTGGGTGACATCTTTTTCATCATATTGCATTGGTTTTCATTTCTTGTCCTCGGAGCACTAATCTTACACATTCTACATTGATTAAAAAAGAAAATCGAATGTGTTTTTAATGGTAGTATTATTTTAAACAGAAATCAATTATTTACAATTGAGATGAGAATAATGTTGCATTGTTAATTAATAATGTTAATTAAAATTAAGGAAAACAAATATATTGATCTGAAATCTAGCAAATTAATTTTAAATTAATTCAGGTACAATTACCAAACATATCGCAAGGTCTTTTTGTCTTTTTATTAATTTAATTAATAAACTAATTATATAAAACTATTGTCAGTGCACTACAAATAAACTGGTTCTATGCCTTTAGTAATAAAACTTATTTTAAAAATACAATGCCTTCTGCCCTTTTGTTTTGCTTTTTCCCTCCATTGTACCGAAATCGTACCGAACCGTGATGTCTGAACCGAGGTATGAACCGAACCGTGACTTCTGTGTACCGTTCCACCCCTAATAAGTATCTTTTATTACCACCCCACTTTGAACCACACTAGTCACTTTCTCTAGACTGTCGAGAAAAATAACGACAGCACTACTCATTCGTGACGCTGACATGATACTCTCATACCCGACGGCCTTTCCAACCGCGAGACTACACTCTTCAACCGAGCAATTCATCACCGGCACGGTGATTCCGTGCCTGTGTGAGATTCTGTCAAACGCCACTCGATCTAAAGCCGACGGCGCCACCATTGCCAGTGCTCAATGCGCCTGGCCAGCTAACGCTGGCAGGCGGTGTTCTCAGCTTATAACCTCGCACAAAGACTTTCTTTCCTACACAACAACTCGAACTTTAAACTCCTTCCAAACAAAAACTTTGTACTCAAACACAGCGAGAGAAAAAAGGACAGAAAAGGGACAGAAAAAACTCACTCATTTCGCACCACACTCTCACGCAGCCTCCCCCCACACTCACTCCCAACATCCGCTCAGAGAGAGAGAGAGAGAGAGAGAGAAATCACTCTTTTTTTTTTTTTTTTCTCCCTTCATGGACAACCAACCAATCACAGTCTTCAAAAGACTGTGTCATACATACCTAACGACGGGGTCAGCCCCGCCTCCTCACGAAGATAAAAGTTTTTGTCTTTTCCTCGCTCAGAGTTGTTCTCAGATTGGTCCTGAATCGCTCTTAAGCTAAGACTCCTATGTAGAAATGTTTAAGATAAATTAGGAACTTTCTGGTAGGATTTTTAGAAGCTTTAAGAATATGGGCCCAGGTCTTTAATTTCTATTTTTCTGTTATAATCATGTTTTTAATGGGTTTATGTTGACTTGACTTTCAGGAAGTATGCCAAAGCAGAGACATTGATGACTGTGACTGACCCAGTACATGACATCGCCTTTGCTCCTAATCTTGGGAGATCCTTCCATGTGCTGGCGATAGCGACCAAAGACGTCCGTATTTTCAAACTCATACCATTGAGGTAAATATGATATCACTCTCGGTAGTAAGAAAGCTAAGCAGTCAAATTGGTCATCTTAATTGTTCACCCAAAAAGTAAATTCTGAAATAAATGTCGTTTCAAACATGTATCACTCTTGATCTTCTGTGCAACATAACAGAAGAGATTTAGTCTAAAACAACATTGAAAAAACAAATTCTAAGGAGGGGCCCATGCTATTTATTGGGACTCGAGGGTGGGATATTTTGACTTGGGCTGGTAAACACTTGGGCTACGTGATATATTGACATAAAATGGAATTGCAGTAAGGCTTGGTGTGATTTTCAAATCATGAAGTCTGCAATTTAATTCAATAAATGTGCTGCCGGTTTCAGAGTGAAATCCTGCACTGTTCTCATTTATATGCATACAGCTCATAATGCGTCTTTTGTTTCAATGTTAAAGCTTAATGGTTTTATTTCAAAATAAAGAAATGAAAGAAAACAAAGAAACTTAAATATTAGTTATGTAATTTTACAGTTAGACTAAATCCAGAAGAACTGCGGGAACGTCTCCAAGGCGCTTGAAGAAACCTACCTCCAAAGCTACAGTTTTAGCCACTTGTGTAAAAATGCTATAAAGTGAGGATGCTTTCAAAAATAATGTCATAAATAGATTTTATTTATCAATTAACTTCTATTAACTAAATCAAATCAATATTTGGTGTGACCACCCATTGCTTTTAAATCGGATTTTGTCATAGGTACATATGCACAGTCTTCAGTTAGCTTTGGAGGTAGGTTTCTTCAAGTGTCTTAAAAATGTTGCTGCAGTTCTTCTGGATTTAGTCAAGTTTTTTCATGTAATCCCAAATGTACTTGATGACGGTGAGATCAGATCTCTGTGTGTAGCATATCGGCTGTTGTCAGACTCCTTGTGGATACAAATATTTCACTGGATTATAACAATTAATGGCAAAAGGAATGTTTGGAAATATAAACTGATAATCCCTACTGGCACACTACAGCTTAAAACCATTTTTTTGTGTGTGAAATCTTCGCTTTGTTTAGTAAACAGCTCAGGGAAAGGGGGTTTCATAGATCTGTGAAATTTTCCCGCACGTTAATTCTGACCAATCGAAGTGCAGTTATGGAAATACGCTTAAAGGAGAACTCCGGCGCAAAATGAACCTTTGGTCTAATAAAACATTGGTACCTAGTCAACCGTTCTCTGAGATTTGTTTTCATGATAATTGAATGTAAAGAGTTTTATCTCTAAAAACTGTTTAGTGTATAACGCTAGTAATGGGGGCATATAATAAGTAAAAAGAAATCGCTAGTTTATACCACTAACAAGGCTCAAAATAGCCCCACACTAACACAGTAACATAATGAGGGTCTCTACATGCAAAATGAAGCATTGAGAACTTTGTAAGTGTACAGACCGTTTAATAAGAAGATAAAGATAAAGACAGTCCACTTCGTGTATACAGACAGGAGCCATCTTTGGAAAACAGTCTCGACTAATCAAACCACGAACGATGTGCTAGGTGAGCTGAACTGTATGAAGTTCAGTGAACTTCTGAACTGTATGAATAGCGTTCGTGGTTTGATTAGTTGAGACTGTTTTCCAAAGATGGCTCCTGTCTGTATACACGAAGTGGACTGTCTTTATCTTTATCTTCTTATTATGCGGTCTGTACACTTACAAAGTTCTCAATGCTTCGTTTTGCATGTAGAGACCCTCATTATGTTACTGTGTTAGTGTGGGGCTATTTTGAGCCTTGTTAGTGGTATAAACTAGCGATTTCTTTTTACTTATTATATGCCCCCATTACTAGCGTTATACGCTAAACAGTTTTTAGAGATAAAACTCTTTACATTCGATTATCATGAAAACAAATCTCAGAGAACGGTTGACTAGGTACCAATGTTTTATTAGACCAAAGGTTCATTTTGTGCCGGAGTTCTCCTTTAACCCTTTGATGCGCAAGCTATGGATACCCCCTCTAATGCACAACATGGGTCTAAAAAGACCCGTATTCATTTCCTATGTTATTTCATGCATGGCTTGGCATTTTTTTTTTTTTTACCTTTTGAAATCACTTTATTTAAGCATTTAATATTTCATGATCTATAAATTTCATGATTTATGAATATTCTAAATATCTTCTTTTCAATTATCACAAAATTATATTTTAATATTTCCTAGGTTTTGTGTTAATACATCAAGTTTACACATATGGGTCTAAAATTACCCATCTATGCAAGCGTGATAAAACAAAAGAATAAAGAAAGCTTTTTGTTAAAATAACCAATGTCACAGTTGTTTAGATCAACACATTTACTGTAACACTTGAAATAAGTTTATTGGCCACTTTGTCACACATAACACACATATAACCGATAACACTGAAATTAAACTGTAGTGTAGTGCAACTGTAGGGATCTCCCCGCCACCATTGATCTCCCCACCACCAATGTGCAGCATCCACCCGGATGATGCGACAGCAGCCATAGTGCACCTGAACGCCACCACGCGACGGCTTATGTGACCGATAGCATTGATTTATGACCACAAATAAAAATGAATATGGAGGTACAAGGTTTCTGCCCAACAGCGACAATATATACTTGTGTATATATAACTTTCTATTGCAACTTTTATTTTGTTGACCTAGCTATTAGATAAAATAGAATATGTCGACCGCAAGCTAGCTAATAGTATTGGACATTTTTTTCTTTTGCACTAGTAATGGATTTCAAGGTCAAGGTAACCTTAGCCTAAACGTTCAAATATTAGGTCATTTCTAGATGTCTTTCACAAAATATCAAATATTTTCTCTGTGACAAAAAATTTATTAAATAAAACTTACATGCATGAAATATACAAAAGCAGCCCTGTTGAATTGTGAAATGTGTGGCAGATGAATAGTTTTCTGCAGTAAATATATTTATACTATTTATAAATTTCAAAGGTTCCTATATGGGTAATTTTTTACCCATGTGTGTAAAATTGATGTAGAAATACAAAAACCGTGTTTGTTTATAAAGTAAGAAAGGAAAAATAAACATAATGATTTGTGGAAATCAAAAACAAGATATTTAATGAATACCTGGATTAATAAATGATAAAATACATTTCTTTCAAATATTCAGCAAAGAAACATGAACACGGGTCTTTTTAGACCCATGTTGCGCATTAGAAGGGTAGTGATACAAAAACGATTTTTATTCGAAAAGTAAGAAAGAAAAAATTTAAATAAGGATTTGTAATGATCTAAAACAAGTTAATTGAGGAATACCTGGAATACTGAATGATGAAATGAATTTTTTGCAAAGATATAGAAAATGAAAACTCAGTCGGGTCTATTTAGACCCATGTTGTGCATCAAAGGGTTAAGACACATCTGGCCAATGAGTGATGTGGATGTTGTCACGTGACTGCATTTTGGTTCGTTTCATCAACTGATTCGGACCAGAGCAATCAGTGTGTTGTGAAAAGGAACCAAAACGCCTGAAAAATGCTACAAAGTATCATTTTTCGCCCTTGGTCCGGACCAAATGAACCGAACTACAGATGTAAAAGCACCCTCAGAATCTTTTTGGAATAGTTGATTCATGTTATGTGTCTGACAGGAGAGAGAGCGCCAACAGCTCTGGTCCCACTAAGTTTGAGGTGCAAGTGATGGCTCAGTTTGACAGTCATAACTCTCAGGTGTGGCGCGTGAGTTGGAACATCACCAGTACTCTCCTGGCCTCCTCTGGAGATGATGGCTGTGTGCGACTCTGGAAAGGTCAGCTGTCAACTCAATCTACTTCCTGCTGAGTGAATCTTTTGAAAACATTTCTCAATAATATCTCTTTATCATTGCTTTAGATATTCTCTTTACAGTCCAACTTTTTTAATGTTTTTTTATTTTTTTATTATAAATGGCAGTGTTACTTTTCATTTATTATGAAAATTGCAATATAATATTACAAATAGGTTTTAGCTTTCATCAAAATGTATTAACTTTAAAGTAGAGCTACACGATTCTGGATAAATTGAGAATCACTCGCTCATAAATACTTCACTTGTTTCATTTACTGGATGAATCAGTATTTTTGAACAAATCTCTTAAATGAATGATTCAATGACAAATACATTTTTTAACAGTTAAAAGTGATGTAATTGATACCATTGTTATTTGAAAGCGCCAAGTTACTTTCAAAAGGTGATTCGCTCTATTTTGATCGCTACCTTAGACATCAGTGTTTATATAAACTTTTAAAAAAACTCAGAAATAATGATACTGTGAGGTTGAAAAGATTGTTTGTGAAACTGTTCTCTCTGGGTCAGAGGCAGTGATCTGAATGTTTTGCTGTGATTTTTTTTTTTTAATCAAATGTTTAAGACATAGCCGAATCGTTGTCATTTAGAAGATCGCCTGCGTGTTTTGAATCAATTTTTTTTTAAACCTCCACTTTAAAGTCAGCATAAAATTAAAATTCACCTCAATTTTCTACATACATGTTATATGATGTATCTTTTTGTGAATGATTTATACATGCATGTTATTAAAAAAAAAAAAAAGACCTTATTATCATAACCTAATCTTACGATAAAAATGCCAGATTTCATAAACCCAGCCCTTTTAAACTTTAACCTCTAAAACTACTTTTAATTTCTGCTGACAATAAGGCTGCTCAGGCGGGGTAAAATTATATGGACTAATAATATCCCAGCCTAACATGTTTAATGATATATATCACATATTGTAAATTATGCTGTGAATTCTGGTTCATCTTGTCTGCAGCCAATTATATGGACAATTGGAAGTGCACAGGGATCCTGAGAGGAGACGGGAGCCCAGTGAACGGCTCCTCTGGACACACTGCTGCTCTGAGCACTGTGGGCGTCCCTGGAGCTGCTCAGATGGTTGTTGGGGCGGCTTCTGCTGGCAGGTATGTGGCGGTGCTGTGATGTAGAGTATGACCCTCGATAGTTATTTTTGCTTAAAACGGTTAAAATATTTAATTACAATATGAAAGTTGATAGAATTTAGATAAGTATTCATCACAAATGAATAGGTCTGGTCTGGCATATTCATTAGATTTTTTTTTTTTTTTTTTTTTAGGTACAAAAACTGCTGCTTCACATTACTTAACTCTTTCCCCATCAGCGTTTTTGAAAAAAGTTACCAGCCAATGCCAGCATTTGATCATTTTCACAAAAGTTTCATGGCCCCCAGAATATTTTGCTGTATGAATATGTGAATATATATCAAAACAAAGAACAGACCCTCAGCTTTAAAAAACAAAACAAAAAAAGTTTTATTCTGGCTTCATGCATTCTTTTATCAAAACTTGAATGTGGGTACGATTCATTAAAAAAGCAACATTTTGAGCGAAAATCTGAAAAAATCGCGTTTTTGTCAAAGACTACGTCTGGATCTGATTTAGAATGATGATCAAAACATGGGGTTGATTGAGTCCATCAACTAAACTAAGCTGCATAGTCCTATAGCTCTTCCTGGGTGATATTTCATTCGGTAAAATTAGTCAGTTTGGATTTATATTCTGTTTAATGATGATCGCGTTATTTTACATATCCATTTGCTTACATATGATATCACTTATTTCTGCTACTCCTTCGCCTGTGTTTTGATCAAGAGATTCATTACTAGCGTAAGATGCGTAATAGCGCCCCCTACCATATAACAGTGAAAACAGGGAAACCCCGAAATTTCCGTCAATGGCGGGGAAAGTGTTAAAGAGTTCTGACTTTTTAAAGGCATTTTAATCTTATTATATATGCATTTGAATGCATTTGAATTTTTTCAAGTTTGTGGTTTATTCATAATTAAATGTCTTAATTTTAACAGAAAAAAAGCTCAGCTGATGCCAGGCTAACGGCATAACATGGTGATTGGCTGCTTGCTGCATGCACATGCACAGGATTGGACAGAGACCTCATTGACCCCTCCTCTGCACGGTGTGACACCTGCACACTCTCCTAGCTACTAATCTGACAGAAGCGTGTGCTGACGGCGCAATCTGTTGTATGGCTGTTAAAGGAAATGTGCTTTGTGTGTTCTCTTCAGTGGCACTCACCTGACATTAGAGCATTTTTTGTATTGTTGTAGAAATTACACTAAACATGATTCTAATATTGACATTCTTATTAATTGTTGTGATGTGATGCAGTATTAATTATTTATTTAGGTCATTTTGAAGTTTCAAAGCATAGTTGTCTGCACCCGTTTCCATTGACTTACTGTTATAGTTGCTTTTAAAGGAACAGATAACTCAAAATTCATTGTTTATTTGCCTTCATGTTGTTCCAGAACTTTTACTGCTGATGCACAAAAGAAAACGTTCTAAAAACCTTATTTTAAAAAATGAAATAAAATAATTTGCTCTTGGAACAGCATGAAGGTGAGTGAATCGACTTCAGGCTTTCAAAAAAACATTACACACGTTTGCGCTGTTAGTTTGAAGCTGATCACCATGTATTCTGTGGTGTGGACAGCAGAGGGAAACATTGTATCATTCAGCCCAGTTCTGCTCAAATTTTGTTCTGTCTCCAAATATGCCTTTGGAATTACTAGCACATTACGTTTAATTTGTCAATCTAACTGTATTATAGCATTTCAGTAACTATTTCAGGGTGTAGGCACATATTGTTTGTGCTGAAACAAGCAACCTTTTGCATCTCTAAAGCCTAGTATTCAATGATGAAACATTTGCACTGCTAAATAATATCTATTTCCGTTAATAAACCATCACCAAAAGTTTTCAATTCACAATTTTGGTGCATGAATAAATGAAGAGCTGGCATCTGATATTTAACTCTGTATATTGGCAATATCCATCCATGACATTCTTTGTAGTGCTGCCTCAATTAGGAATTCAAAAAGAGAAAATTGAAACCATTCTAGAGATTAATGCAACTGTCTTTTTTTTGTAAAATAAAGTTTGTTTTTTCGGTTCTGATTTATGCAATAAAAACCTTTCTGAGGTTTCTCTGATTTGTGTGCTCCTCATTTAAAGAGACCTTATAAGAGGAAGAAGTTGGTCTGAAAAGACATTTAAAAGAAATAAAATATTATCTTAAAGAGATGAAAATTACCCCATGATTTACTCACCCTCAAGTCATCCTGGTGTATATGACTTTCTTCTTTCAGACGGATACAATCGGAGATACTGTATATTAAAAAAATGTCCTGGCTCTTCTAAGCTTTATAATGGCAGTGAATGGAGGATGAAATTTTGAAGGCCAAAAAAATGCATCCATTCATCATAAAAGTGCTCCACATGGCTCCGGGGGGTTAATAAAGGCCTTCTGAAGCGAAGCGATGCATTAGTGTAAGAAAAAAATCCATATTTATAACTTTATAAGCCAAAATAACTAGCTTCTGACAGATGGCCGTACGCATTGTTATACGCGAAAGAGTAACCCCTAACCTGACGCATGACATATTGGAAGAACGTGAAAACGCAGAAGATGGAGCAAAACAAAACACCGATCACCAATAAGAAGTCTAAAACGAGAATTTTTAAAGAGAAATGTTGGAGGATTTTTGGTATTAGAGAAGAGGAGCTTGAGTTTGGTGGCCAGCACTTTTTTGGACTTCAAAATCAGCACCGCCATTCACTCCCATTATAAAGCTTGGAAGAGCAATTATATTTTTTAAAATATAAGTCCGATTGTGTTCGTCTGAAAGAAGAAAGTCATATACACCTAGGATGGCTTGAGGGTGAGTAAATTATTAGATAATTTTCATTTTTTGGAACTATCCCTTTAATAAAAAAATTCTGAACTGTCACTATGAACAAAATCCTGATTCAGTCCCAGTCAGATGACGTGACCCCTATACATTTAAAGCACAGACTAATGTTTTACACAAAGCACTGTTGACTGCAGGCTCGAACATTCAATCCTGCAGTTTTTCTATTAAAAGTTACTGAACAAGTCATTTCTTCTTTATTGTCTAGTTAAGCAGTAGCTGAAATTTTTTTATTCCCTTTTATTAACATTTATTCCCAAACTAGGTAGTCATATACTGAGAGGCAACTTAATTTAGGCTAAATATTTATTAAATGATTTTTAATTTTTATTAATTTAGTCTTTTTAATTAAAATATTTAATAGTGGAAAATGACAAAATCACAGAAAACTAGTTTGTAGACTAGTAATTGCAAATTTTGGTGGATGCAAATAATCTCCCAATTTTTGATTAATGAAATTATGAAAACGATAAACCCTATAAAATCATTTGGACTAAAATTGCTCTTATAGTTAACAGTCCCCCATAGGCTTCCATTGTAAAAGCATGTCGATAAACATGATTGTGGTTTTTACAAACTGAAGGATGAACTTTTTGAACTTTTGTGGTCATTTATTAACATCATGTCTCAGATTCTGCAGATAAACCTTCATTCCATTGAAACTGGAACATTTCTTTAACTCCTCCTGAGAGTGCTATCTTGTGTGATGCGTACCTATTCCGGCTTCATTCATCATCATTCACCTTTGTTTCTTTGTTTTTCCTCAATGTCCCTTTTTCTGTTGTGCTTGTGTGTCTGTGTTGTGGGCGTTTCTCGTTTCTGTTGCTTGTTGGGCTTCATTCCCATTCTGTTCCTACAGGTACTTCTTCCCTCATTTGGACTCCCCCAGAGCTGGATCTCGACTGGGCCACCTCCTGCCTCCTCCCTCTCTCATCGAGCAAATGAATGAGCCTGATCCCAACCATGCACCTCAGCTACGTCATCGACACATGGTGAACTCCGCCAGTCAACCCACTGACATTTTCCTTTTAAATGATCAGTAATGTCTTTATGTCCACATCATTTTCACCCCATCCCCCAAGAAAAAGATTCAACAACTGAGACATAAACGTAACAAATTTCACAGACATTTGATGAAGGAGGTCAAAAGTAGCAGTCAGTATCTGGTGCCTTATCGGCTGCCTTAAGTACTATAGTGCATCTCATCCTTATGGACTGCAGCAGATTTGCCAGTTCTTGCTGTGAGATTTTTCTCCACTCTTCCACCAAGACACTTGCAAGTTCTCGAACACGTCTGGGGGTTTGGCACTGCTAAGACAATCAGCTATCCTTCCTGTCTCCCTGTAGCACTGTCTTGGGCATCTTACATTACGAACTCTGTCCACATCTGCAGTCCTCCTGCAAGAAGGAATATGGCATGTTGTTCACACAGGTGATCAGGGCATCTTCTGGTGTATTTCAGAGTCAGTATAAGGGTCTTTTTAGTGTTCAAAGTTATTGTAACTGTGACCTTAATTGTCTACTGCCTGTAAACCGTTAGTGTCTTATGGACTCTTCAGGTGCATGTGCAATAATTAGTTATGGTTCACTGAACAAGCATGAAAAACATTGTTTAAACCATATATAATAATATTTATATCAGATTTTTTTTTACATTCTTAGTGTAATGTAATACCTTACTGTAATATTTTTGAGTTTGGGTTACAGTAAAAAAATGCAGTTATTAAAAGTTTTTTATTCAAACAATTTTTCAAGGGCAGTAAAACAGACGCTACTGTGATGTACTGCACATATTGCATACATAATTTCAACTATAACAAATATTTTTTTGTATTTCAGTATTAAAATATTTTTATCTTCTAGTAATAAGAATTAGTTTTTTGCGTTGTAGTATTAGAGAATTGTCCTTTTTTTATGAAAATGGAACAATGCAAATAAAAAAATCATAGTTCTAAAATGGGCATTGTTTTAGGAAAGTAAATTTGGAGGAATGTCCTTGAAATTAATCCTCACATATGATCCAAATGTTTGTCTCATAATAATAATAATAATAATAATAAAAACACTGTCAAAGAAATAATTTTGTACTGTGCATTTTGTGAGGTTAAAACAGATTTATATATGAATTTGCTATTTTATTGTAGTTACAAATCGAATAGTGTCTATATATCAGATTGTGATTTTGTTTTTTAAGCCCTGCTTTGGCCATCCAGTACTGAGCCGGATCAAACAATTTGGGTCATAGTAGTTCTGGGTTTATTTTTTTTTCCTCTTCTGTCTGTGGCAGATGTAACTGGTCAGGGCTTTGGTCCTCAGGCTGCTGAGAGTGTGTTAATCAAGAGAACATAGTATTGTGGCCTGATTGCACACCTGCCAACCCTGTGGCCATGCATGTCTGCATTGGGTTGGCAAGGACTCTCTCATTCACAACACAACCATACAGTAATGGAAAACACACTTGTTAAATCCCTGCCAGGGGGTTCAGTCATGTTTTGGTAAATTAGTTTTTAAGAGGATAAATGACACAACACCTCTGCAAAATTAGCACCTCCCTTTCCCCTTCCTAATGCTGTCTCATCCCTCCAGACAGACTTAAAGACACACACACACACACACACACACACACACACACACACACACACACACACACACACACACACACACACACACACACACACACACACACACACACACACACACACACACACACACACACACACACACACACACACACACACACACACACACACACACACACACACACACACACACACACACACGACTCATGCAGTTAAACTCACTCCAGGTGGTGATGTCTGGCCTTCCGTCTTCACACACAGGCAGACATTGCTGTACTGGTTGCTGAATAAATACCTTCTTTTTCATCCTCATTATTGTCTGTTATACACATATACACTCTATTAGTCCGTCCGTCCGTCCATCCATCTAATCTATCCATCATCTATCCAAACTGTAAAAAATTATCATCACAATTTTTTTATCTTTTGTCAAATCAACTTAAATAATTTATGTGGTTCAGATAACATAATATTTTGAGTTTCTATTTATTAAACTCAAATTTTTAATTTCAATGAACTCAATTTTTGTATCTATCTATCTATCTATCTATCTATCTATCTATCTATCTATCTATCTATCTATCTATCTATCTATCTATCTATCTATCTATCTATCTATCTATCTATCTATCTATCTATCTATCTATCTATCTATCTATCTATCTATCTATCTATCTATCTATCTATCTATCTATCTATCTATCTATCTATCTATCTATCTATCCTAGGACACATTGTTAATGACGTTCGTGTGCGCTCATTGGTACTCCTGTCCTGCAGATGTCGCTCTAGTGTGTTGTAAATTACTCATAGAGCGAGACAGAGGGCTGGACTGACTGGAACACAACGGGAGTTTGTGCTCTGCTGAGTTTTGGCTATGAGAGTGAGACAGTCAGTCTAGACGCTCTTGACAGCCTCGTCTGGAGGAGAGACACTTCCCTCTGCGGCTCGGTCCCCATCACGACGACACATTTACAAACGTAAGCCATTTCTATCTATCATATGGAGTTATTTGATGATGGCCCGGAGTGGTTCGAGGGAGTAAATGTGCTGCATTTCTGCAAGGAAAAAGCAATTGAAGTTGTTGCAGACAGTCGCAATGGAAAAGACGCGTTCACGTTCTTAAAGGGACCGTCGCTTATTAATGCTGCATAAATGTTCAGGATTCCACCTCGCACGACTGCGGTGTTCTTAGGTTAAATACGCGGTAAATAACGGGGCTGTGCCATTCTAAACTTTCTGGTCTAATATCAAGTTTTCATTTTTATTTGCTGCAAAGTCAGGACTTTAGTATCCTCGTCTAATTAAAAGTTTCTGTAGAGAAGGTAAACACAGTATGAACTTAGAAATATAAGTTATCTGTGACAGTTTAACGTCAGTTTGTATTATGCAATAGAAATATCAGGATGCTGTCTCTGACTGCATTATCTTTTTTATAGATTTGTTGTAAGAGGGGCAATAAGGCTTTGTAGTATTCACTTTTATGCAATGTTTCATGTTATGCGACAAAAAAAAAAAAAAACACACACACACAAACACACAAACAGACAGCAAAATAAGATAAATCATGAAGCTTTGCTTTCAAAATGTTTATTTTTTTTATTGCAGGGTTGTGTCTTTTTGACATGTAATGGCGCTCTTCCACTGTTATTCCCTTATAGGCGTATATAACATCCTCAGGGGCCAGTTTGAAGACTCATAATTCATCATGTCTGAGAGAGAGGTGAATCAGAGACCATGGCTGCAATCTCTTTCAGTCTCACAAAGATGCATAATTCAGCCCATACTGTCTGGTACCTTAAAATGTGGCTAGACAGTAATTCTTGGAAAAACTTCCTCTGTCTCTTTCCTGGGGTCATTTTGCATGTTTGAAGTAACATAAAGTGGCATTATGTGGAGCCCCAGGCCCCAGATTTCCTCATTTGTTCCTAGTGATGCACACAGTCCAGCGCCATAACACGGATGTGGCTTTGTTCCGAAAACTAGAGAGCTGCCTGAGTAGGCACTATTTTAAAGCATCATGGGAACACTGCTGGTACAAAAAGTGATGCTCCATTTCAGATGCTGCCTTAGAAGGCAGTTGCCTTTGTAGGCAGTAGACAGCAAGACAGCTCAATAGGTTTTGGAACATAGCCTGTGCTTTTCTTTTAAGCTGCCAAATTAAGTGATACTCCTCCACACTGACCCCTCTACTTTCTGTCTCACTCAATGTCCATTTCATTCCACCTCTGTTAAACACCCAGCAAAACAAAAGTACATCATGGAAACTCTTGGTCTTGTTTAGTCCTGTAGAGCAGTGGTTCCTAAACTCGGGTACGTGAGGTGACAGAGGGGGTACGTGAACAAAATGAGTTTTGCCGTTCATTTCATTTTACCCCACCTAAAACAACATTAAAGTGTTAGTTCACCCAAAACTGAAAATGCTGTCATTAATCGCTCATACTAATGTCATTCCAAACCTGCAAGACTTTCATTAATCTTTGGAACACAAATTAAGGTATTTTTGATGAAATCTGAGAGCTTTCTGTCCCTCCATTGACAGCTACGCAACTACCAATTCGACGCTTCAAAAAGTTCAAAACTAAAAGTAAAACTAAATCATATGAATTGAGCGGTTTAGTCCAAATTTTCTGAAGAGACTTGATCGCTTTATATTATTAACAGATTGAATTTAGGCTTTTATTCACATTTAAATATTGATCAGCGAACATAAACAGAAGCTCAACCGAACTGATTACTCACGAGAACAAACCTCATTGGTTCTTGCGGAAGCTCAAATGTAACACACGGGAATGAATCTCATTGTTTCTTGGATGTCAAGCGATCATGCTTCCGTTTACTAGAACTGATGTGTGAGTTGATGAATGTTTATATGTGAATAAAAGCCATCATGTAAAGCAATCGTGTCTCTTCAGAAAATTTGGAAAGCTTTGGTCAAAAATTGGTCAGAAAGATCTTGATTTGTGTTCCGAAGTTGAACGAAGGAATTAGTGGTTTGGAACGACATGAGGGTAAGTAATTAATGACAAAAAATCATTTTTAACAGAAAATATTCATTTATTCATTTATTGAATATTTTGAATAATTGGATAACACTCTCAGCTATAAATAAGAATCAGTTTAAAACATTTCCTCCCGCTTTCATAGACAAGGCTTAAGCCTAGTCCCAGACTAAAATGCATGTTTGTACATATCTTAAGACATGTCAGTGCCGTTGTTTTGTCTCAAGGTGCACACCAGTAATGTTTTTTTTAAGGCACGTTTATAAAAGCTACTTAAATGTCGAATTGAACTAAGGCCTAATTCTGGCTTAATCTAAGCCATGTTTGTGAAACCACGCCTCAAACACACTACACTTTTCAATCCATTGCCTTCTATTAAAACATATGCAAACCAAGACACTGAAAATGTAAGCTTATACAAAGAAGTTGTGCGTTTCGCTGCGTTCCAAAGTTCGAGTTTGGTGAACTTTTACCTGCGAATTTGTGTCACGTGAAGATGTGTGTGACCAATAGATAAATGATACGTCACAGTGTGACCTCTTGGAAAGTGGTTGGAGAGTAGTTTACACTTATAACAAATATTTTGTACTGTTTTTATTATTTATGTCAAATGTGTGTTTTTAAAAAGGTGTCATTCTCATTCTTTGCAGTGTCCAGTTAGCCTGGGAAAACCCAGACAACTTCTGGCAAATTTAGATTTGCTCTGAAAGTTAGTCTGGCAAAGAGCTCATTCAAGCCCATTTCCAATCCGTCGAAATCGAGGCACCAATCAGAAACGTTGGGGCGGGCTTTACACGATGACGACAGCGCTGGGATTTTCAAGCAGATTTTGTACCCTACATTACAAAGATGGATGCCGCCGTCGAACATCACTCGTTCGAATCAGCTATCGCGTCTGTTTTAAGCGATTTGAACGTTTCCTTTTTGTTAAAAACCGAGCAAAGAACAACACTCGGAGATGTTTCTCCGCCGCTCTGCATACGTCATCTCCTTCATCGCTCTGATTGGTTTTAGGTCTCTCCGAGACGTCCGTTGGTGACGCCCCTCTGGAAATGATTTGTCTATGACGCTTTGCCAGACCATAACTCAGTTACAACTGAGAATGGTCTGGTTTTAACCAGGCTAGTGTCCAGTGAATTTGCGTGCTCAAAGTCTAGTGTGATCATATTCATGGCTTAATTACGCAGTTTTTCACTCAAAATTGGGGAATAAATTCCTGAAATTCCATCTGAGCCTGTGCATGAGCAAAGCCTGGATAACTTCCTGCAGCTAATGTTGCTCTAAAGAGAGTCTTCTGCCCTGATATGACTATAAAGATAGTGCTGAGAGGATATGAAAAATAAAGTTGTCCTCCCTGAAGGTTTGTTTTTTGTTGACCTGTCTGAAGTTGGCCCAGCTGTTTATGCTGGGTGCTGCAGTTTTTGTTGTTCTCTTTTGCATGAGTTTGTTTTTACATCACAGTATTTTGCCAGTGACCTTATATCGTTGCCATTGTCCACTGAAAAACAGCTGATAAAAATGCAGTCCAGTTTGGAGCAAACATACACAGTAATCTTTTGAATCCTACCACAAATATGTTGATAGCATGACTCACTCCTTCAGTGTATTTATGGAGTCCATTCATGCTTATGTACTGATACAGATATATGGCTGTTGGTTTATTTATAGCAGGATTTTGTCTTTAATTTCATGTTGAAGATGCTATGAAATGGTTTGCAAATTAAATTTTCTTTCTACAGTTGATGTGTTTTATATATGAAAAACAGAAAAATCTGTTTTTTAGACAATAGCCTTCATTTTACGCCACTGGCTGGCAAATGAAATGCAATGTGTGTGAATTGAATGGTCTTCTATTTTTTGTGTGTGATATGAGTGATTACAGCTGTCATTTTTAACATTTCTTTTGTTTTGACTTGTCCATTATTTGGACTGCCAAAAGCTACAAAATGTATACACAAAATTAATTAAAAACTGTAAGATAATCATTTTTAATTTCAAGATAACTACTTGTAGCATACTACTGTTTGAAATGCTCATGATAGGTTAATGCCCACTGTTTTACTTGCTATTTTTAAAGAATAGTATTCAGTATGCTGTGGATATGGTACAGTATTCAGTAAATAGCAAGCTAGTGTTTCACTTTGTTGAACAGCCCATAATTTGCTATTTCTAGTCAGAGAGAGGGGGTATCTCATTTTAGAGAGCATTTCAACAGATAAAAAATTGCATATGCCTGTGAAAAGATGATGATGATGATGATTTGTTTAATTTCAGAAGGGAAAGACTGTAGGTATTGTAAAAATGTGTAGGCCTATATGCCAAATGCCTATACCAGACTTATACTAAAACCTACAAAGCTTCACTTTTGATTTCATGGGGTGTAATAATGTTTCGAGCAGAGCCAGCAAACAGTGCTTATTGTGACTCATTCACATGCCTTCCATCAACAATCACTACATCATAATAGATGTGGTACATAAATCTACACTCCTGTGGTGCTGGAGCATTAGGGAGCAAGCCTGTTAGCAACAAGCCATCTATGTACTTGTTCCTAAGCTTGGGAGACTGATTAGGGACTAACAGGCCGCTGTTTTTCCTCTTCTTCCTTCTCGATCTTTATTTTTAGCCATCTTAGGCACCCTTCCCAGTCCACCCAGGGAGTCTCTCTGTTCTAGCTCAGGCTAAGACTCCAAATTCACCAGGTTTTATCTACGGCTGTGGCGAGGAAGAGAAAAAGGGCTTTTCTCTCTTTCTGCAGGTTTCTCTTAGCTGCCTTTGAAGAAGCTCAGTTTTATTCATGTATGCCCCATAAATATTGATCAGAGTCCTGGTTCAACGCATCTTTTTGCTTTGAAGGCTTATTGATGGATTAGTTTCATGCAGGAATAATTCATTGGGCAGGAAGAGGGAGTGTTAGGGACAGAGCTTGATTTCGAAAGTCTTTATTCAAGGCCTGACTCAAGCCTGTGAGGATGCAC